ACCTAAAAAGAGAATTTGATGTGAATATCTTGAAAAAACAAAATGTTATCTCGACTCGCAGTTTGAACACTCGGAAAATGAGATTTTCATTCATTAGTCAATTTATATCAAAAAAGGTTTTACAATGATTTTATATAAAGATCATTCATTGACTAGCCCAATGGTAGTTCATTCACTTGATATCCAAAAAGACCTTTTTTGACCTCGAGAAGATAACGAAGAACTACTTGGTCTTGAAGTACCATATTTTAGTGCCACCGATGCATTGATGTATCTTGCTAATAATACTCGACTCGATATAGTCTTTTCTATAAATTTGTTAGTAAGTCATAGTTCGTTTTAATATAGAGACATTGAAATAAAGTTAAATATATATTACGTTATCTTCGAGGAATAATTGATATGGGTTTATATTACTCTAATAAATCAAAGACAAGATTAATTGGTTATGCGGATGCGAGTTGTTTATCCGATCTACACAAAGCTTGATCACAATCGGTTATATATTTACATATGGAGATCCAACTATATGTTTATGTTCTATAAAGCAAACTATAGCCGCCACATCTTCAAATCATGCGTAAATATCAATTCACAAGGCAAGTCGAGAATGTGTTTGGCTAAGATCAACGATCCATCATATCCGAGAGATATGCAGTTTATCTATCAAGCAAAGAAGTTCTAACAATATCATATAAGGATAATGTCGCTTTCATAGTTCCATTGAAGGAAGAATACATTAAAGTGACAATCCAAGCAGATTTGTTCACTAAAGTGTTGCCTATCACAACTTTTGAGAAGATGATTCACAAGATTGAAATGCATCATCTTAGAGATCTTAAATAATGTCTTCAACAGGGGAGACAAAAATGAGGATTAATGCGTGCAAGGAATATTGTACTCTTTTTCCTTTACTAGGATTTTTTTCCCACTCGGGTTTTTTCCTAGTAAGGTTTTAACGAGGCATGTTCCTTGTATAATGGACATTCGAGGAGGAGTGTTATGAAATAATGATCATGAATGTTCATCATCATGTTCATCTACTTTTCATATCCCCACTATTCATGATTCTTAATATGATTCAATTCATCATTCAATATGAGAAATTGAAAGGGTGATGCAATTGAGTATTCATAGTCCTTTTCAATTCTCTCCTTAATTTTGAAGCTTATAAATAGGATTGATTGTTCATTAGTTGATGTACAAGTTTCTTAGAGAGAATAAGAGGAACTTTAAAGTTCTTATCACTTATATTCATATTATAGTGATTTTATTTTCTTGTCATTCTTTTCTTCAATTCTCCTATTATTTCTATCTATTTTATAACATATATAATTTTTTAAGAAACTTTTACCGTCTATGGTAAAAAAGTAGCGAAGGTGAAAAGACATATACGACAGCGAAGGCACCAGCTATCAATAGCATCCCTCTCGTCGATAAGGCGCAAAAGGCATTCAAAGTTCCAAGTTCTTTAGCCTCTTGGAATGAGAATAAGTAACACAAGTTTTGCAAGCCTAGCATTCAAGAAATATTTTTCCATCGTCACGAAGAAACGCAATAGAAAAGGCTTACGCCACTACCATCTACTGTCATCAAATTTGTACATAGGATGGATCCACTCCCCCTTTGTCGGGCCAGGAGCAGCTTTCAACTCGTAGGTCATGTGGCCAGCCACTTTCTTGCACGTGGTGCAAGGTAAGAATTCTGTGGCTGCAATTTCATGACAGATTTGGCTGCCTGATGCCAATAAACAAAGTAGTTCCAGCCAGCTGCATTTTTCTTTTTATTTATTTACTTCCATTATAATTTCAATCAATTATTTATCCAAGAAAATCAAATTTAGAACATTAGGTTTTCTTACCAAATCTTGATATTAATTTATATACTTTTTTTATTATTAATTTTTCAGTTCTTGTAAAATTTTGAATTGAGAGCCATGTACCGTTTTTTTTCCTCTTAAAATCTTTGAGATTGAATCTGTGATATATATATTTCCTTAATCATCATCATATAAATCCCTCAAATAATCATATCATGAATCTGAGGAGGAGGCATTATTGTACAGATCATAATAAGTCTTTTGAAATCGGCATCAACAATTTATTTATTTATTTTTACAAAAAAATGATTTTAAAATATTAAAATTATATAATTGATAAAACACTAATTACATGATATGCGTCACTTAATAAAAAAAATTAAGTATTTCTAACGTCATCATTTTTTTTGGAGTAAATTATAAATTAGTCTCTCTAGTTTCAAAAAGTAAATTAATTAGTTTCTCTTATTTTAAAAACTATTATTAAGTTTTTTAATTAGTGTTGATCATGCTTAATTTAATATTTTTTATTTCACAAAATCTCTTATTTTCTCATAATATTTCCATACCTTTTCATATGTTTTTTTCTATTTCTTAAAATAAAAAATCAAAATAAATTAAAAATGAACAAAAATAATTAAATTATAAATAGATTTCAAAATATAGAGATTAAATAATTATTTTTTAAAAAAGAGGGAGTAATTAATTTTTTTTCAAAATGAAAGGGAGTAATTTATAATTTACTGATTTATTTTGTCCTTGTGTCTTGAAAATGCTTTTCTGGTACTCACATTTTCATCCTTGTTTTTGTACCTGGAGGCATCGCATGAGCTCGGCTAACTTGAGGTCGTCAAGGCCTCATGGTGTCCAATTAAGTTTGGGCAGCAATTCTTTTATTAGCCCATTATTCCTTTATAAAGAAAGGCCTTATCCTAATTAGGCCCAGAAATAGTATCCCCACCGTATCCAAGTACAAATTAGACCAAGAAAAAACACCCCCTTTTTTTTGGTCCACTTAACTGATTTATAACCTTATTATTTTTTTAATTCCACGATAAGAGGATCAGTTCACCTCTGTTCGAATCAATTATTTCTATCCAGCAATAGTACTATTTTTTTAATTCCACGATAAGAGGATCAGCTTCTAGTTTCTTTGCAGGAAGAAAATGACCTTTCGGCCTGGGTTGAACCTAGTAGAAGAGAAGACAAAAAACTGAAAGTGTTGAGAGATTAGAAAAGAAGGAAGGAAAATGGGAACAAAAAATTAAAATAAAACAAATCTATGAAAAAAATCGCATGTCTGATGCATACATGTGCCTCTAGATTCATTCCAAAAGCCAGCAACGAGCCTATAGCTCCAGAAAATGCATCATTAACAAGATCCTCAAAGGCCTTCTAAGAGTGACAAAAATATTCATATGTTTATAACATCAAATTCTTAAATATTAAAAGATGGAAAGGTAGAATAACAAGCAAAACATTACTAAGAAAAACCTGTCTCGACACAATAAGAAGCTGAATTCTCAATTTTGCCAACTCCTAAGCATGGTCCACTAATACTTGTAAGTACCTTCAGACAACGAGCCACAGCTATTCTAACAACAATCTCCACTAATCCTTCTCCCTTCTCTCTCTCCCCCTGCCTCTCTCCTTCCCTCTCTATCTCCTCTCTCTCTCCCTCCTCTCTCTCTCTCTCTCCTTCTGTTTTTCCTTCTCCCTCTCCCTCTATCTCTCTCCCCCTCCCTCACAATCCCCCTCTCCATCCCATTCTATCTCTCTCTCTCCCGGTTCCTCACAATTACATTAGCATTGACTTTCTTTATTCTCATCAATTTCTTATTAAAATATGTTAAGTGACAGCTATAAATACAAGTGCTTTTTTTATACTAATTACATCAATACAACCTTGATTTTCTTTATTCTTATTAATTTCTTATTAGAATTTGTCAATTTATAACTACAAATACAAGTAATGTTATCTTTATTTATAAGGTGAACAACTAAAATTATAAGAAAAAAGATCAAACGAACCTATACATCTGACCCAATATTCTATTGATCTTTTGGAAGCTCCAACCCTTAGTCCCTGCAAGGAGCTCTGCTCTCTTGATCTCTGCTCACTAATCGGCTGGTAAAACTGTCTCATTGGATCTGTGTAATGTTTTATATTATGGGTCTTTATTTACATCAGTCTTCATAACTTAACATTTTACCCTCTCAAGTTTTGACATTTATTTTTCCGATCAAAAAACAATAAAATGACCGAAATACCTCCATATGTAATAAATCAATCCACAATGCCCCTTGTTGATTTCATCTAACTTTCTCCTCCTTTAATCTCTCTCTCTATCATCTCTCTCTCTTCGAATATGAAGAGAGAACCATGTAAATAACTTCATGCCCTCGATTTAATAAATCAAGCCCAAGGAATCATGAAAGCAAGTTGATTGGAGGTTGATGTTTTATCCTGATTTGATGAAGATTTGAAGTTAAAGTAGCGTTATGTGAAACCATAATCCTAATTTTTTTTTTTAAAAAAAATTACTCTCAAATGATAATAAATCATAAAATATTTTGATTGATGTGATGTTCTTGAAATCCCAAACAAAACTTTTAAAAAATATGGTGTCATTGATGTAATTTAACATTTTCTTAAATAAACCCTAATTTATATTGTGGAAATAGATCATTTTTTTTTAAAAAAAATCTACTGGTTTGAAATTGATTTTTTTTGGGATCGTGTTTCCTTGGGTATCAAAAATGCCTCACATACATATTTATAGTGGAGACAAAACCTTCATAGAACATTTTTGTATGATAGAATGCACTTTTTATATAGATTTGCTATTATTATCGAAACAAGAGTTTGATGCTGATCTGAAGAGTTTCACCGTCGGAGATGTGCTACTTTATAGAGATAAGTCAACCGTTGAACTTATGGCTGCCCATTGAAAACAAGGGCATTTTTGTCACTCTGCAACTAGGGGTGCAAAGTGTGCACATGAATCGCTATGCAAGCTGCACCTGGTTGAATTTCTTATTTATCTTCCATTGATTGGTCTACAAAAGGTCAAAACAAATTAGTTACAGTATACGTAGTGGAATGGACGTAAATCCAAACAGCATAAAGACCATATTTCCGTTGCCAAATTCATTTGGCATCAAAATAATCAAGAACTAATCAAAACATCCATCTAGGAGAGGAGTGGACAGCACTTTGCTTCGGTCTGGTTGGCTGCTCTGAGTTGTTTCGCTTCTTCATTATAGAAGACACAGTTGGGCTGTAGTAGTCGTTACTCCTTTGAGAAGTCGCCCCTTGTGAATACATTTTCCTTCCATGGATGAAACTTCTCTGTTGCTCAAGCATCGCCCTTCGGGCCACCTGGTTCCTTTGAGCAGTTCCCCATCTATTATAACTCACACAACTGTGGCTCCGCCCAACTTGTTGAAACTTTCCCTCTCTAGGACTCGTATAGTTTCGACTCTCAGCAGTTTCTGCAGAGTACATAGTTGTTTCTCCCTCACTGCTGTATTCTTTATACATCTCTGAAACCTCGACAGGGGAGGAACTAGACTGAACCTCACTGTGTGCTCCATTCACAGAACCTGTTGAGGCAATGTCAGCATCCACTTCGGTACTAGCAAGTCCTCTATCCTTGATTTGATCTTCACTCACTGGTATCTGCAGTGGCATTTCCTTGACAGAATTCTCATTGGAGTTTGGCAGCAGCTGTTTGTCTGGCTGTGGTTGAACTGTAGTTTTGGTCACCCTTGGAGGGAAATTAATATCCAAAAGCTGGATCTGGGCACTTTCCTTTTTCCTAAGAGGGCCTGCTGTCAGCTTTGGTGATTCATATATTTCTGGGGTTGGAATTCCTTGGACATGGGCACCAAGTGAATCGGTGGTTAGGGTTCCTTCCTTGACAGCATCTGCTGTGCCAGAACTACCTGGATCTGATTGATCTCTACCTTTTGAGACTGTATTGGATGATGGGGTGCCATCGTTATCAGCTTCTGTTGACTTAAAAACCTGCCGGAGTGTGAAGGAAGCACAAGAATGCTCACTCTTCTGTCCTGTGGACATCAATCTGATTATTGGCAATTTGGGTTTGGTAAGTTCATCGAGGTTGCCTTCCCAATGCTGGTTTAACCAATCACAGATAATGGGTACAGGAATACCAAATTGCATGGAAGAATCCTTCTTCCATGATGATGAGGATGATGATGAAGTTGAAGAAGATTTAGTATTTGGAGATGTGGCTAGTTTCATGGGATCACAGATCATGAATGCAAGATTACCTTGGGCATCAAACCCTGCAGATCCAGGGCTCCAAGCTATTCCATCAGTTGACAGTTTTATAAGATTGTCAGTGGCAATTACCACCTTTCCCTCACCAACTGTTAGTTCTTCGTTATCTGTATGACCTAAAAAGTAAACAGCACTTCCCAAATCCAGATTTGGTTTAGAGCAGGTCTTCAAGTAGTGTGGTTGTTGCACTTGGGCATTTGATTCTCCATCCACAGAATCTAAACCCACTATGGTAAGATCTAGAACAGAGGTGGTAATGAAAAACCTGCAACCAAATAGTTCACATGAGAAATTCCAAATGTCTGCCTTATACGGTGCAGCTATTCAAAATTAAAAGCCAGCAACCTTCCTTTCAATTAGCCTAGCAGTACGGGAACCATGCCAGCTTTACAGCATTAGTTACAACGAGAACAGATGTTCTGTTCCGAGTTAGCAAATCAATGTATGTCAAATGTATCTTCTGGATATTGTTAACCAGAAATCCTTCCAAAGTCCAAACTGATTACCAGTGACCATGGTTCCTTGGCAAAGATAATGCAATGACATAAATAGATCAATCTCATTCTCACAAATCATATTAACATTAGAGGCCAAATATTCTATTAGAAGTGCCCATCTTGTACCAATTATACCTGTAGATGATTCATATTTATATTCAAAGGAAAATCAATTCAGCCCAAGAATTTTCTCTGACTAATTCATCCAATTCTAAAGATCCTGACTACAAACAATAAAAATCTAAATAGACATCCCTGCAATATGCTAAAACTGATCTATAAACTAGTAGATGAAGTGCAGGTTATGCTCACAAACAATGTAGGAGCATTTGCAACCATCATAAAGATGACAATTAAGGTAATTGGGCAGTGGTAGCAGTTGCAGTCATACATTTGTAGCAGAGAGACTGAGCTGAAGCAAGCAGTTTTTTTATCGAATTCTATGGAGATTTTGTTTGAGATGTACTTATTCTTCCTCTAGGTTATCTCAGACATTTCCACCTGCTGCAACTGCTAATTCATACCATTCAGCAGCTCAATTCCTATTTTTCCTGTCCTAAATCCTCATCCTATAGGCCCTAAAACCTTCCATAACAGCCTCTCAATGCTAGCACTCTATAATCACTATATGGCATAGTTGGATTATTTTTTGTGCTGACCAGAAATTTTGATGCCTGGAGCAAAACAGCCATCATTTCTCCTTAACCTCGACATACATGAATGCATTCAATCAACAAAACATAAACCTCTTGTTTTACAGTTGAAAATCTAAATCCCAATTTTTTTTGAGGGTCCCACCACAAAAACCATCTTAGAAATGATTTCCATCTGCATTTCTCATACCAAGTAGAATGTACCATATCTTTGAATACACAAAGGGCATAATTTTATTTTGGGAGGGGGTCAAACAAAGTTGCAGCTTCAAATGAGAGTCTCGTAATGAAATGCTTCGAAGCAGTTTAGTTTGCCTTGGGAAAAAAAAAAAAAAAAGAAAAAGAAAAAGAAAAAAAAAGAGTTACTATCAGTCTGCAATGCAGAAGCTGATACCATCTGGAAAATAAACCTCCACAGCCAATGAAATTCTATTCAACATCCAGGCACATGTTTACTATTCGAAGGGAAATGTAAACTAAATTTCACAACCTTGCGACATTTTGAAGATACATAAAAAAATCTTCAGTTTGTAAGAGAAGCATAGATTTCAATGAGATCCAGCACATAAAGCAACAATGAGTAGATTTCAAGTTCATCCCTATACAGCATTACATAGTATACTATTCTAACGCACCTTTCCAACTAGTAAGAATTTAATTCAAAAATCACGCTAAAAAAACAATTCAAAGACTTAATAGAAACGACTGAGCACAGCTTGAACGAGAATGGCATTCACTTTTCACAATCAAAATCACAAACCCAACTACTGGACTTTCTATTGATGGTCCAATGCCACGTTTCCAGTCAACCCAGAAAGAAGCAAGGAACAATCATTTGGAAAAGAAAAGGGCGGACCTGTGAGGAACGAGACTGGCAGCGACACCGTTTTGGAGGCGGATCTCGCAACTCTCAGCAGCAGCTACAGAGGGAATGTTAACATGAGCAGTCAAGAGAAGATTCCGGTGGATCAGGAATCCAGTGCCGGAGATTCCATTGGGGGTGGCGGATATCCTGGCAATCGCGGGACCCTTTCCAGTAAAAAGGGCAGCCTTCAATTTCTCAGACTTTCCGACTCCTTTGCAAAAACACCATGACTCGCTCAAAACACCCATTTTATCCAAAATGACCAAAAAAAATAAAAATTACCTGTTATCTTTCAGGAATTAGAGAGGTGTAATACGATCTAAAGAGAGCGGCATTTTATTTTTTTCCTTAAAAAAGAAAAAATCTTTAAGGCAATGGGCACCAATGGGTGAACTTCAAGTTAGTGCTTACTGCTTAGTACAGTAAGTAGCATGTTTTGGGTTTTCTGTAAAGAAAAATGTGAAGAAAGACAGAAAGAGAAAAGAGACGAGATGGCCGTGAAATGAGTAAAGGAGTGCGTGCTTGTTGTTGTGTGCTGTTTTTTAGCTGGATTTTTGGAGGAAGGAAATCCTACTAAAAACAACAACGATACTGATAGAGAGAGAGAGAGAGATTTTATTGATGGGGATGGGGATGGGGATAGAGATGGAGATTGTTACTCAACGCTTTGGCATTTCGCCAATTTTTTCTTCTCTCAACTGTAAATCGCATTTTCAATTCGGCTTTTACCTACACGTTCATTAATTAATATAATACTAAATATAAAATAAATCTCATTCTTAAACGCGTCAATATAGACCTAATCTTACGATTTTAAGCGTATATTTTAATATTTATATAAATTTAATAAAACATATATATATATATATATATATATATATATTGAATTCAAGCTCTGAAATTAAAAAATTAAAAAGAAAGCAAACAAATTCTCTAGCTGTCTCTTGGGATTGCATTTGGTGTAAGTGACAGGTGAGGTTGAATTTCTCTAGTTTGCGACGGATGATGCTTTTTATGGTAACGCGATTACTTTCCATTACGATGAACACCAAGAATGTATTTCTCCTTCTCCGATCACCATTTCTACTGAAAAAATTTAGTTGTAAACAGAGTTCTTACTCTGTTATCAAATTATATCTATAAGATTATACCATAATATGTAGTTACTACTTGTTACAAATTTTATGGAAAAAAAAAAGTTAATACAAAATCCATCGTCGTTGTGTTTTGAGTATATCCTTAAATCACATTCTAGCAAACAACAAAGAACATCGAAGCCCCCAAAGTAATAATTCCTGTTATAGTTTTTGTCATGTGCAATCATTTTTTGAAAAATAGCTCAGTTTGTTATTTTTAATTTATTATTTTGTTAAAAAAATTAAAATTAACGTAATCAATCATAAAAATTATATTAATTTTAATATAGTAGTACGTAAAATGTTTTAATTTATATAGTATTATTAGAAAAACATTGTAATACACAACAATCATACATGTTATACAAATTCTTTATAAAAAAAAATAGAATACCATAAAAAAATAATTACAATGTTCCCTAAATACCAAGAAAATGTTTAAGGAGACTATTTAAAAAAAAAAAAGCTCAAAAAATGTTTTATTTTTCAAGTTATTTCTTACGATACCGTCAAACGTTCGAAAATAGTTTTCTAATTCATTTTCCTTAATACAAAGAAATATCAAAAAGTAATATAACCCCTAAGATATTATGAAATTATAATAATTATCTAAAATTCTAAAAATTTAGCACAAACCCTTATTATATCTAAAATATAGTTAATTGCTATTTAGAAAATAGTTAAATTAAAAATTAGAAAAAGAATCTCAAAACAAAATTGATTGAAGTTAAATAGTGAAATTAATATTGTTCATTTACTAAAAAAATAATCATGTCCTATTTTTAAATATTTTTTTCTTATCTTTCTCACATTTTAAATTTAACTATCTTTTTTTTAAAATTGTAATTAAGGATATTTGGGGGTACAAACTTAGGTGTGTGTAAAAAAATTTTAAACATGAAGGAAATTTTTGTCAAAAATTCAAAATTTTTTATTATATTATTAGATAGTTATTAATTTATTTATTTTTTAATTGGAACATATTTATACGTTATGAAAATTTGTAAAAATAGAAAATTAACAAATTTTATAATAAGAATTGATCTATGTCGTCATAAATATGTTGAAGTTTAAGTCTAATTTGTTTAAAGTTTCATTAAGTAACATAAACAAATCGAAATCAAGATCGAGACGAGTTATGAGTTTGAGGGAGGCGAGCCTTAGTTTAACAAAATTTAAACGAAACAATGCTTTAAGCTCGTCCTAAACACGAACTGAGTTTAACCCTCGTTAAAACTGGCCAAGCCGAGTTCCAGCACATCAAAGCTTTAGGATGATATGATAAACATGTCACATGGATGGGGGCCATAACAGCACGCAACTACAATCATTGAAATTGACTTTTCAGTTCCAACCCTCCATCGTTCAAAGTTATGAACAATAATAGAACTTTCTTCCATTCCACCTCTAACTATAAAGATATGGGGCAAAGGACCTCTTTGGCATGACAAAAAAATACAGCAAAATACTTACAAATCTAGATTTTCTATATTAATAGCATCCGGTGACTCTCTTCTTCATCTATTTATTTTTCTTTTAGGCTTAAAGGCTGGCAGAAACATTGAACAAAAAGGCTTTAATCATAAACTAAATTAGCAAATGCATCCATCAAAACATCCTAGCTAGCTTCCAAAGGTTAAACCAATGTCAAAATATGTTTAGTTCAATCAATCGACCACATGATTATTTTTTAGGTCAAAATAATTTAAATCCGATACCATGAAAGAACAATTATAACTAGTTATCCATTGATGTTGAAAATTAAACCTTAATCTTAACCTAACTAAATCTTTCTGTTTACCGCAAGACCACATCACTGGATGGTGATCAAAATATCCACTTATATAAACTCATACAAGGCTATTCATCACTTCTATTAGTACCCAGCGACTAGGTTGCAACCAGACTATCTCGATCATCATATTGAGCATAACATTTCAAAGAAGATTGCTAACAGCATCGCACAACAAGCGTTTAAAAGGATTGAGAAGTTTCTCAAGACATTGGTCTTAAACAGTGACTAGTTTCCGAATTAAAATATGTAACACAACACTGATTAAAAGTTCACACAGCATTTGAACACTGCCCCATGTCTACTCTCCAACAATTAATAATGAATCGCCATAACCAGCTTCAAGTCTATCGCGATGCCATAAGCTTCTCAACTGCCCTCACTTTTCTCCAGAGCTGGTACACATAATTTGTCAGTTATAAGAATGAACAAAAAAATTTAGAGAGAACATAGAGTTAGTGCATGATATCAGCTCAAATTCATTGCATGGTTAAACCAATGCAATCTCTCATTCTCTTGATGTAAGCATTAAAGTATAAACTTGAATCAATTTGTCTCATTAAGCAAGATTGACACATTCCGCTATACATGCTCATATAAACGTTGAATTATGACCCCAAACCTTTAGGTGGAGAACTTTGGTTAATTTTCACACAATAAAGTTCACTAAACTAGCAGGGTCTACTCTGAGGAGAGTTTGCAAATTGACTAAAATATACCCTACCATCACAAACAAATAAATACAGTTCCATCCATGAGTGACCGCAACACACACACATGAGAGGGGGAGGAGGAGAAAGAAGAGAAAGACTTACTATTGTAGTTCAGAAGCTTCTCAATGAGGTCAACATGAGTCATAAGCATTCTTCTACAGCAATAACGAACCAACCCCAAAGCATCAAGAGCATCTCTGCACGAAGAATCAAAGTAAGTTCGGAATTAGACATGTCCTCTACGAATTGACATCCAATTTCATGACTATTAGGACTGTTAACTATCAGTTAGAAGCAATTCTAACAACATTTTGATAGTTGGATCATAACTTACACATTCGCATACTAAATGAAACTCAAAATTATTTTATAACAGTAAAATATAGCTCATAAACCACACCCACACTAACAACATTTTGATAAAGTTAGAATAACACACTTTTTATATTAATTCCGAATTTTGCATCTTGGCTTCAGGAGGCATGCAAGTATTTAAGACGAATCAACATGAATAATTGCAATGGGAAACAGTAACAGAATTTATTACAGAACTGCAAAGTCAAGCTTGCAACCTATTTTCCACCGATACATGATCATCCACATTAGCTTCTAAAAAAACATGATAACTACTCACCCTTCAGCGTAATTGGCTTCAAGAAGATCAAGATACGTATCCCATTTGTTCCCAATCACCTAAAACCCAAACAAAAGAATCACAAAACATTAAATGCAATATCACAACATGAACTGCTAAACAATTCTTTCTCATAGAAATTTTTTGGGCTATGTTTCTCAGCAGGGGTGGATAGGGGAAGGATGGATTTATTTTATTTTATTTTTCTCCAGATATTAAACTTGAAAAATTTGGCTCCTTACTCAACAAAGAATGGCTACAAAACCCTAGAACAAAGGTTTAAGCCACCTCGCGACTGAAAGAAGATAATTAATAAATTCAGTACCTTTCCGCAAGTGAAACAGCGAACTGGTATAATCATCTTTGCTTTTGTCCCTCAAGACTATCAGCCTGTGCCTGCTCCCCTTTTCCAGGTTCTCTTCTCTCGTGTTGTTCTGAGGTTTGTTTTCCAAGTTTTTAATGGTAAATCGGAAGGGAGGGTTTTGCAATTGTTTCGGGTTCTTGGGCCGAGCTTTGGGCCTTTAATAAATAGATTGAAAATAAAAGCCCGTCAAATTACGTACGAGTCTTCCAAGTTTTAAAATATTCAATAAATGACCACTAATATTTACTCTTTCAATTCATCTTGTGAAAAGAGACAAACCTCCGTTCTGCTTAAAGTTCAATTTTGAGAAGATAGATCAATACAAAAAGGATAGAGAAAATTATATTTAGACCTAAGCAAAAGCTTTAAGGATATTACTACTTTAATTCAATTTTTTTCTTTTTTATTTCTCTATCTTCGTTGTGTTGAGTATTGTTGATTACTATAAAATTTCTAGACTACTGGTAGTCTCCAGATCGGATTGCTAAGATGCACGCCCACTCCCAGTTACCACATTATATACTCGGTAGCTCATGGTCTGCTTTGCTAAATCTGGCAATACACAAGATTGATTTCAATGCAGAGCGGTGGTATTTCTCCTCAAGATTCAGTGGAGAGAAAAGCCGGCAAGCAATGATGGAGATAACTACTTTCAATAAATCTGGGATTATTATCAGAAATGGGGCGGATATTGGATAGCTTGTAGCCTTTTCATTTTGTTATCAGAAATCTTATGGTAGGATTTCAAATGTTACATTAGAGCGTGATAAGAGCATTCATGGTTTCAATGCTGTAGTTTCCTCATAAGAGTAAGCTGGGTATAATGAAAATTTTCTAACAATAAATTACAAATAGATTGATGACATCTACAATAGTTTAATCCAGCTTTTTTGTCATTTGTTTTTAAAAAAAAATTCATGTTGTTAATCATTCCTCTCTGCAAAATGGTGTAAAGACAGAATGCCACCAGTGAAGCACAAATGGAAGAGGTTAAAATCCTAAGCAAAACAAGCAGACCTAAAAATATATAGTATGAAAAATTTTCTCCAACACAAGACCTGGACCCGGTCTGGAACCCCAAAAATCTAGTTAGCTTTAGTGAGCAACTCTTTGCAACATTTGATCGGGCAAAAATACTTGGCATTTGTCGCACCATCCAACTGACAAGATCAACAGATTTTGACAGCACAAAACTGCAATAGTTTTTCATTCCGAAACAACGTCTACTCCTTTCTGCTTTAGGAATTCCTTGGCCTCAACAATGTCCTATGGAGAGAAACCGAATATTAAATTATTGGTAAAAAAATGTTCTAATGCGGCATTATGAAAATAAAATAACAACCAGAAACCAATTTAACATTTTGACAAAGTCATATGAAGATGTTGTAATGACCCATACACTAATTTGAAAGCTTTGAAAATTTGAATGTTGTGAAAAAGATTAAGGGCAATGACCCGGAGCAATATCCCATTCAACACCTATCATATCGGTACTCCCATTAAACAATTCTTCTTCAGCATTTCCATCCTGGATTCTACTAGCATTGCATCAAATTATAGATACCGACTGCTATGCAAAATGTATTAAAAATGCGGGGTGCTGTGCTAATTAAAACCATCAAGCATTTGTAACATGCAATAGAACTGATAACAAGGGCAGCATTAGATACACCCAAACCATCATAACCAAGCAAGCTTGTAAAGACACAGTCAGAAGCCACAGTAAGACATTAGCAGTAAGCTCAAAATCTTTTCAATTAGACAAGCTATTACTGCTGTTTATCACGATATAAACAGCTCCCCCAACTCAACAAGGAGAAAAGGAAAACTTAATAATAAACTACGAGGTTAATACAACAGTAATACAACAGTAGTAAAATACCTGTTGCAGTAGCAGTGCTTCTTGAGGGCAAGTTGGAAAATTCATCAAGCCAACTCCAACCATTAATAGACCATAGCATCCCAGTGATACAACAAAATAAATAGGAAGCTGGGAAGAATATGACAATAGGGAACGATAAGCATCAACAAATCAGCACAGTAAAACAACTATACACTAAAAATGACAAATGTTTTTTTGTAATTTAATAAATTAACAAGTATCCACAACAATAAAGTTATGAACTTGAACAAGAGACTCACCAACCAAGTATGACTACTTGGAATCACAGAGGTGTGCAATAACCCAATCCAACAGGAGGAGACGGCCACAAGTAGTGCTACAATCTTCACAATATGCTTCATTGGATGTATATTGAGGAAAAACTCCTGTTTCTGAGGATGATAAAGAAAGAAAGAAAAAAACTCATTTTTTTAACTCATCCAAATAGACGGTTGAACAATAAAACCTAAGTTTTGACACCAAAAAAAGTTTGTGTTTTTGTTTCTTAGGTTTTAAGGATCAAAAGCACAGAAATACTGTTATAAATCTGGGAAAAGGGTCATCTTCAGAATATGTATCACTTAAGATTATAGATCAAATAAGTGCCAAAAAAGCCAAGTTACTACAGACAATTGGATACCCTGTAAAGACCCACCAAGCCGCTGGCTACTGCTAATCAGAAGGGAAAATATGAATTATTTCATCAATTCCATTAAAATGGAACTCAAAGCCCTTGCGCAATATCCCAATCATCATTTAGCAGCCGCCAGCACAATAATCCTTTCATCATCTAAACTATCTTCCAACACAACAACAACAGCAGCAGCAAAAGAATTCATGGACCCAACGAGAAGATATAAAACTTAATTTTGAAAATATTAGATCGGACTTTTGCCATCAGAAAGGGAGATATGAGGTTAGATTATATCAAAGTCCCAATGAGAATATGGAAACTCATAGCCCTTGCGCAATTTTCCCAGACATCATCTGGCATCATCAGATCTACACACTTTCCTTTCACTCTATAAATAAAAAAATCCCAATCTGATTAAACTAACAGTCTACAACTAATAAGAAAATTGGCAGACGGAGTCATGATAATCAGATTAGGGTTTTAGGCTTTTCACTTACTGGTTTTATATTTGCTGCTTGCACGCGAGGTGAGGTGAAGCGAGTCGAAGCCAGGAACTAGAAAAATTTCTAATCCAAGTGCGTGCCGTTTGCTTTCAAACTCTAGCCGATACCGGTTTAATGGCAGTTTTTGCCTCTTGTGTCACATTTGACACCTGTAAGTAAATAGTGTTCTTTTTTTTTTTTTTAATTTGATTGCTACCATTGACAAAAAATTCTTTTTAAAAAATTTAATTTTTTATATTATAAGTTAAAATTTCCACATGCGCTAATAAAAATTTAATTTACTTTCAAAAATAATTTCAAAAAATTTTAAAGGGAGAAAGCAATTTTTTATTTTTCTTAAACATTAACTATTAATAAAATTGAAAAAAAAAGAAGAAAATAATTTGAAATGACCCCGAATTTAATCAAAAGGTCTAAAAAATTCATATAAATTATGTGTTTAATCTTAGTATGTTTCTTAAAATATCTGCATAGTTGAATGCGTAGCACCAAACTAAACTTAAAATATGTTAATTTTAAGAATTGTATATATAAAAATTTTGAGAACTACACTAAAATTATCTATATAAATCCAATATGATCTCTTTAAAGCTCATAAAATTATTTAAGATAAATCGGTTTGTTTATTTTCTATTTTTATAATTTATAGATTAGAAAATTAGAAAAAAAACTTCTAAATTAAAAAAAAAAAAGAAAAGAAATTGTGAAAATGGATTGAATTTGAATTAGTTTCCATTGAAAATACCAATTTTTGATTTTTTCTAAAAAAAATATTTTTGATTTATAATAACAATCGAATCAAATAAAGAAAAAAATTTATATAAGACATGATAATTCAAAATTAAAATTGACCAAATTAATAATATAGACTTCAATTTAATACAAACAATAGGTTAGAAACAACAAGTGTCATATGATGAGTTGACAATTGACTCGTGCACGTGGTTTATGTTGGTAGTGAAGAAAGTTTTCTTTGCATTGTATATTTGTAAAACAAGTCTCAAATTAGGTTTAAAAAAACTCTACCCCACTCAAGTTAATACAATTGACCAAATTAATGATATAAATTTCAATTTAATACAATTCTAATAGGTCGGGAACAACAAATGTCATCTGACAAGTCGACAATTGACTCATCCAATAAAATTAGAACGATAATAAATTAACTAGATTAATAATATAGACTTTAATTTAATACAATTTTAATCGGTGAAGAACAATAAATGTTATTTGATGAGTCAACCATGGACTCGTCTAGCAAAATTAAGATACGTGGCTCACGTTGGTAATGAAGGAAGTTTATTTTACATTGTATACATACAAAACAAGTCTCAAATTGGATAAAAAAACTCTATAATGCTTAAGTTAGTAGTCGAAATATAACGACCTAAAAATGCTCTTTTAGTTCTCGTATGTATTAGTTTATGTGTGATTTAGTGAAAGAAATAAGATTGTATAAGAAGGACTTATGTAGAGAGTTTTTTTGGAACCTTTTTAGATTTTTTCCTGAAAATGAATTAGAACAAAGAACTTTTGTAAATAGTGTTTTCGAAACCTGTTTGGATTTTCTCTAAGATGAGTGAATTGGAACCGGCCTTTTTCGCTTGTGATGGCTCTAGCCTTTATACAGGCGATTTATATGGTAAAAATGATAAAAGTGTATTTCTTTTTTATATAGAATTAGTGAAAGAGTAGATAAGTATTATTATTGTATTTAATTATATGACCGTATTACTGTAATCATCATAGATAATAATCTAATTGGTATTATCACTAGCGATATTTTATTAAATATTTTTTTTGAGACGATAGCGGAAGAATGTAAGGTTGGGATAAAAAGATTCTAAAACTCTTTTTGGAAATCCGTATTAAGAGGAGTAAGGGTCCTTTGAAAAATTTTAAACTCGTTTAATGAGTTAGTCTCTCTTAATGAACTATAGATGTTAGCTGGATCTGATGAATTTTAGAGTTGCAGGCTCATAGATTCTTCCGTACCAGCCGAAACCAGGTTTTTGTAGAAGATAATGAAAAGACGAAACTGCTCTTCCTATCGCGACTGCCATGCATATATATATATATATATATATATATATATGGCATAAATTTTATTTTTTATATTTTATTTTTTATGAAGCGACCGCTAAAATTGAAACGTGGTAGAAGGAAAAAAATTGTGTTTGGTATCAGATTTATCGTATTCCATCCTCTTTCTAGTTAAATTCCACAACCAAACAAGCTCCCATGCTCTTGTCTCGGTACATAGCCTAGTAGTATTTGTAGAAAGCGACGAGTCGTTCAAGTCCAATTTCTCTCAAATCTCAATCACCGTGTCGAGTCGATTTCCAGTCCCAAACAGTAATGGGCGCGACGGGAAGCGACGTGGAGGCCGGATTCGCGAAGCTACAAGGAGAAGATTTCGAGTACTACATGCAAACATACTCGATAATTTTAGGCCGGAACTCCAAAAAATCTACCGTCGATGTCGACCTCTCAAGCCTAGGCGGTGGAATGAACATATCACGCCACCATGCGCGCATCTTCTACGACTTCACGCGACGCCGTTTCGCACTTGAAGTACTCGGAAAGAACGGTTGCCTAGTCGAAGGAGTACTCCACCTTCCTGGAAACCCTCATGTCAAGTTGGATTCACAAGATCTCTTGCAAATCGGAGATAAAGAGTTTTACTTTTTACTTCCTGTTAGGAGTATATTGGGTGGGGCATTAGGGCCTAGGCACCACGTGGCGGTTGTGCCGCAGTATGGGTATCATTCCGGTGGAGCGGAGAGGATGGTGGGACCGGTTGCGGTTGCGGCTGTTAAGAAAGGGAGAGCGAGGGAGTTTTATGAGGAGGAGTTTGATGACGAGGAGGATGTTGGTGGCAGTGGTAGTGGTGGTGGGAAGAAGATGAGGAGAGAGGGGTATGAAGGGTATGGATATGGAAGTGGGTCCGGTGGTAAAGCAGGAATGGTTGGAACTTTAGGTTAGTTATAGTAATTTGTGATTGTTTACTCAAGTGGAAGTAATAGTAATCTGTGTTGTTTTATGACAGTATGGATGTTCATGGATTTTTACATTGTTTGGTTAAAATTTTTGAGGATGAGAACAAAGTTCTGTTTTAGGGTTATGATGTGTTTGACCTGTTGCATTAGGATGAGTTTAGTGCTTTTATTCACCAAATTTATGATTGTGTTGCAATAGCATCAGTTAAGGATTGCAGTTTGGAATTATGATAGACATTGTCGTAATTGGTGGTTTGCCTTAGAGTTTCACCTTCTTTTGCTAAATCTTATTTTTGTGGGAGAGGGAGAATGTGATATGTTAGTTAGTGATTAGATTTGTACAATGCTTTCGGGGCTAGATTATCTCTTCTTTCATAGCAGTAAAATTCTAAGGTCAGTTGCTGCTTTGTCTAGACTGAAGACGTGTTCCAATTTCATGTTAAAAATTTCAATGGCAACTTCAGCAGTTCAATTTTGCATTTCAGTTTTCCAATATGACGCCCTTTTTTTGTTGCTGCTTTTGTTTTCTTAATAGTTGTATTTAAAGAACATTCACTTAACCGTATCCCTTTTTGTTTTGATTTGTGTGGTGATACTAGATGATTTTCCTTCATTTTCCATTTTTTATAATTTCTAAGGGAAGAGGGAGAATCCAATTCTTGTCAGCTAATGAATCCAGTTGTTCTATGAGTTAAAGCTTCGAGGTTACTAGCTGTTTAAAATAGCTGTCAGCTGAGGCTGTTCTATATATATAGATGCCTTTTCAGATTTTGTGGCCAACCTCATGCTCACATTCTTAGCCCATTATCTTAGTTTAGCTAGACCTTGGAATGAAAGCGCAAGAGTTTTCTACAAAAAAGCAATTTTCTTTGGGTTTATGAAAATATGAGCTAATCTTTTTAGGAGGAAGACAAGCTAATTGATTTATATTGCTCACTGATGCACTTTTGAATTATATTGCTCATTTTTTTCATGGAATTATGAGGCATATTGCACGGATCTTTTCTGTTTTATTTGCCTTTCTGGATTTTGAATTTTCTTTTTCTTTTTAATTTATGTTTTCTTTTCAAACTTATATTTTGTCCATGCATCTCGAGCTATTAATATTGACTCGTTGATCACGTTAGATTCTCATAATCTGTTGGTTTGCACTCATACGTTTATGAATGCTGTGCACTCTGATACAAATCCTGTGTTTGATGAAATGCTTTTTCATTGTCACGGTTCCAGCAGTAGAAAAGAAGATGGAGGGAAGATCAAGGATTGATCGTGAGTCAGACAATCAACAACTTCTGCAGTTGGAGGAAAAAGATGTAGTTTCATCTGTTGCTACTGTGCTATCTGATCTCTGTGGTCCTGGAGAATGGATGCCTATGGAGAAACTTCATGCTGAGGTTAGTTACTGTCTTCAAAATGCTTCTGCTAATTCATTCTCTTGGTTACCAGCTCACAAAAACTGCTCAAGTTGCTAAATTAACTTTTTCTTCAAATACTTACAAAAATTTTAAGAGTTGCTTCTGTTTCAAACTACTTGTAAATCCTTGGTCAGTATTAGAGAATCAATTGGTGCTTTTTCAAGTTACATCATGGATAATCTCTTGCTGAGGCATGCGGACTGATGATGTTAGGTTTTTTTTATGACAATTCTACTTAAAAAAGCTTACATCTTTCGTTTCTAGCTGAGTACGGACTAGGGAGAATTTCACTCTTGTTTCCATCCTTTTGTTACATAGATGCCACAGATGTCTTGCACATTCTGAACTCAAGAGGCTTTGGCATGGAAAATGGCATTTCTCTTCCGTTTAAGGATACCCCTGTTAACAAATTATAAGCTGGATAAGAACTTCAATTTGTCTGATGTTTTTCAAAAAACTATACAAACGTATATGTAAAATTGTTTATTTTAATCACTGCACTGGTTGCTGTGCTACTTGAAGAGGTCATTCTACAATTTGTACCTAGTGCCATCCGAGGCAATTATTTTATTTGCTTGTCATTAGGTTTCATTCCGTTTTTTGCACATCCGTCATGCAACTGAACTTAAAGGAGCCAGTTTGTGTTTGTGTTACTCCATTGGTTGTTCAATACATCATCAAAGATGTTATTGTCTGGTTCTGTTTTTTCTAGTCTTTGTTTTGGGTGCACTCCTCTGTTTGATCAGGTTTGAGCTTTATGATGCCTTGGTTTGTTCACTTTCTTGTTTTTTCTTTCCTTCAGTTGGTGGAGCAATATAGCAGCATCTGGCATCATACACGAGTTAGGAGATATCTCACATCCGAGGACTGGACTGGTCCTGAGTCGAAGGGCAAACCATGGTATGGCTTGCTTATGTTGCTAAGAAAATATCCAGAGCACTTCGTCATCAACACTAGGTCCAAAGGCCGGATAACACTGGAATTTGTCTCTCTTGTCTCTCTGCTTTCGTAGGCATCAAAAAGCATCATGGGGCAGTTCCTATTTATTGTGTGGTCCAGTTTTGTGCTGTCTAACTGCAATGTGAGAAATTGCAGGTTGTTTAGCTTGACAGATCCATTGCAATGGTGAAAACTGGAATCACCCGTTGACCCATGTAAATGAAGACAGGGATTCTAAATTCTGTCGCTGTTGTTTTTTTTGATCTTTTGACATGAATGTTTGTACATCATGTTTTCATCTATGTATGTGAGATTGCATCTTCTAGGACAGCTCGTGTAGTATTTATGCCCACATCGCGTATGCAATGAAAAATGGAAATTGCAGCTGTCCATCCGTAACATCGTTAGTCATTTTCCTTCGCCACCAGCCTTTTGATTACTTTGATTGTTGATCGAGAGCAGATAAAAGTGCACTTGAATGCTAAGGCACAACAAAAGGGCTGGATGATGAGTAATACTAGTTAATGACCAGTAGTTTTAGTTGCAGGCAGCAGATTATACATCATTTCGAAATTCAAATTAATGATAGGCATGCATGAAATAAGATAAAATTGGGGAAGAAGATAGATTTGGGGTGAAAATGTGGTGGGTGGCAAACAGTACAAAAATTTCAAATATTATAGTAACATAAATCAAAAACTCATATGAACTCAAGCACTCTTGAGCAGAAATTTACCATGTAGAAAGAAAAAGCTGACAATCAAGTTACAACCTTTTAACAAGTTCCTAAAAGATGCTATAAACAATAATTCATAACAAGTAGCTGCAGGTATATCGATACATGATTGTACAAGCCCAGAGAATAAAAAATTATTATGCCCAAAAGGCATATATATTATTGGCAGATATGAGCTGAAAATTCGAGGTCTATAAAAAAGAGCCTCTCAAGATTCTTCCTTGCTAAGTTTGCCAAGAGCACTTTGACCATAGAGTTGCTTTTCCCGAGCTTCTTTTGCAGCAAGGGCTTCTTCATCAAGTACTTGTATGGGAGACCATTCTGGCAACTTCAACCAACCAGCTTTCTTCTCTTTGTCTCTGAATATAGATTCTTTAAAACTACTCAATGTAGCTCTTAGTCTGATAGTAGCAAAATCCACCGTTGTCCCCACAACAGCAAAGATGATTGAGTAGCGAAAGGCACCAAATTGACCACCTAAAATGTCAAAAAAAAAAAAAAAATCAATTGATTATTGAATATGCTATGCTTAGTGTGTGACTCGTTGATTTTTCAAAGGTCAAGATTAAAAAAAAAAGACCAATGTATACTATGAACTAATGAAGTAACAAGTATAAATATAGAATTTATAACCAACTCATCGCTTCACATTATTCATTTAAAAAATCCAAGTTTATTCGTATAATTGCTATATTCTTCACCATCAAATAGGTTCTTGATTCATGTCTTTCCTCCTAGGATGTTGATTCTAATTTCCCTACATACAAAAAAAAAAAAAAAAAAAAAAGAAAAAGAAAAAGTTTACAACCAAAAAAGGATATTTTTATCATAAATTCAAATGACAGTTATAAACTTAATAGAGTGCTTGAGAGACGCAAATCAGATAGTAATATGGACCTCTTATTGTAAATTGAAAAGACAAAAAGAAATTTTGTGGAATTCAACCCAAATGGAATAAGCTGGAAGCTTGAATTTCTGCAAGTGATTATTAGTTCTCCTATTCATGTAAAAGATTTACAAATTAGTACCTCGATTGATATTTCCATTCCAGGGAGGGAAATAAACAAGTAAAGCATTCTTGGCTTGTTTAATTTCTCTTCGAGAAAGAAAGACTAACATTACCAAATTTGACATGAATCAAACCAAATTCAAATAGTAAACAAGTAAAGCATTCTTAGCTTGTTTAACTTTTCTTCGAGAAACAAAGACTAACATTACCAAATTTGACATGAGTCAAACCAAATTCAAATAGTAATCTCTCTCTCTCTCTCTCTATAAAGTATGGCATTATAGAATAGAGGACAATACCTATAGCATCATATTTATACCATCTCCCATCCAAAGAACTCACTTCCTAGAAAGAAAAATAATATGCATTTGTTTTAAAACACGGAATAACGCTCTCAACATTGGATCTCAAAAACAGTTAACCACATCGTGAACAAACTGCCTTGTCCATAGGTTCTACCAAGGAAGAAATGAAAATGACAAACATGATGAGAAACATCTGCTTCAAGAGGGGAGCAAAGAAGACAACAGATGGTATTGAAAATGCTCCTGTCTTTGGGTGGATTATTGATTCTACAAAATTGAAAATGCACCTGTCTTTTTGGTGGCCTAATGATTCCGCCAATCTAAAGAATACTTCGCCTATAATAAAATTGTAATGAAAGAAAAGGACCCAGCTAAATATCTAATCTATGTTCTCACTGAAATCAAGCAAGCTAATATCCTAGAAGAATTTGCACAAACAAAGGATAAATAATGAGAATAGCATAGGTGTGCATAAAAACACACAAATATATGAGTGATAGAGATTAGAACTTGACCTTGAAGACGTCCAAGAAGAGCACCACTACCAAACCCTGCAATTGCAGAGTTTACTAGATCATCGGGTTCTGATTTTCGAGTTACTCTTAAAAATTCGCGTGCACCTACAAAATCAAACAATAGCATAACTTTCAATTTAAAAACAGTTCCAAGAAAAATATGATGGCCCCATCAACCGAAATCTAGTTGTCGTTGCATGTTTCTGAAATATTCACATTTTCACTGTTTTGTCCTACATGCCTTGAAAGCTAAACATGATCACCAATATTCAGATGGATATCAGGTTTCTAAACCAGTTCTCCAATGAAAGATTCAGTCTAAGTTGATCCTATCCTCTCGCTTCTATTACTAGGTTTCCAAGTCTTGCAGCAGTCAATATATGACTTAGGAGCCACAAATCACTCCCAAATTACAATGTTGGACAATAACCAAGTTGTATACAAATTGACAACCGAGAGAGATAAAGCAATTCTAAGATTGAGTGGAGTACCAAAAAACAAAACAAAAAAACATAACCAAAAATGTCACATTCAAAATGAGCAGGAAAAAAAAAGGTTTCTCCATTAAAAAGCAAATTAAAATTTACTCTTTCTCGTCCTCGTGGAACATAGTAAAAATCTAATCCTTTAGGATTATAGGGATTCGCTAAAATCATAATTGAAAAAAAAAAAAACCTATACAGTCACATTAATGATAAAAAGAATCCTTTCACCAAGAGAGACAAAGCAGCAAGTCAAACAACAAAGACATTATAACAATCTCAAAACAAAACAGTGACAACTTTCACTGGTGTGTATTTCGATCAACATATACAAAAGACATTTGTTTGTACATTTAATAAGGTTGGAGAAATGAGATTAGAGAAAGAAAGGTGATTACCGCAATAGCAGCCGGCGACGATGGCAAAATTAGTGGCATAAGTAGCCGAAATGTTAGCCAGTCCATGAACTTTTCCATGTTTAGACACCAACCCAACTCCTCCACCAGTTATCCCTGCACCCATATTTTCAAATCATCATTTTTTTTTTTAAGAAAAAAGAGAGATGAAATAACAGAGATAGGGAGAAAGAAACCTGCGAGAAGTGTGGGAATGAATATACGCTCCTTCCAATTCTCAGAGAACGAAGAAGAAGATGGTGGTGGAGGTGTGGCCTCTTCTCTTAGAGGTTTTGAATCGCCTGATGCCATTTTCTTTCACTTGATTTTGCTCTGATTATTAAAAATTGAAAAGCTTTGGAGGTGGCGGTGGAGGTGCAGGACTGAAAGAAGAGTACAGTGAAAGTCTTTGCTCGATTTCTTAAAGGTTTAACGGGCCCAACTTACTGTCTTGCTGGTTTCGAAATATTGGACCCATTTTTTAAACCTCTTTCTCGTCAGCCCAAGTTAACTTTAGAGCCCAGAGGCAAGCTGTCTAATATAGTCTTTCGAAATATGTGTTAAAAAAACGTATTTTTTTCATGAAATAAAAAATAGGGAAAATGAATTTCGAGGTCTTTTGAGTTATTCCCCAGAATTGATATATCTATCTTTATATTTTTTAAATAACACATTTTTTAAAGAATTTTCACACTTGAATATTATATATTCAAATATGAAAAATAAAATTATATATACTTGGATAGAAAGTGTAGCAGGCCACCTCTTAGTGGTGTTGATAGAGCTGGAATGCTGCCACTACCGATTTTAAGGTTGTTGACATTCTTAGTGTTAAGTAAGTTGGCGTTGTCGGCATTATGATAAGTATCATGCAAAATATCATCATTATTGTGGGCAGTTGAGCTGATAGCAGGATTAATGTTCTTCTTAATTATCTTGGAAGGATTATTGTTCTTCATAATTACTAACTCTCTAGTGGAATCATCAAAATATAGAGGAAGGTTTTTAAGAACCGATGAAACGATCGATCAACGAGCCGCTTAAGATGCAAAGAGATAGTGTTGCGATTTGTAGAAGCAACGACTAACCAACTAAGCATAAAGAAAACAAGTAGTGAGAGGTGGGCAGTGAAAGTCTACAAATAGATGAAGTTTTAGGTGTTGTTTGCTATGTGAGTAGGAGAGTTTTAAGAGAGAGAGTTTGAGGATTTCTTTTGCTAAAGATTAAAAATTCTTAAGTCAAAAGTTCTCTAATGCTAAAGTCTATCCCATCATAATGATGTGAAGTTAGTATTTACAATAAAAGAAGATGGCCCTATACTACTAAGATCATGTCACATCATCCAAATTTGAAAGATCATATTTGGCTTGAAAATTTTAGGTTTTTTGGAGTAAACTACTTTAACTTGCTAACAAAGGATGAAGAAAGTACCGATTGAATCTTTCTTTAGTAGATCTTGCTACGAACCTACCTAGTCAACTTTCTTAATTCATCCCAAAGACAAGGCATAGACATTGCTCCTGTCAAAATACTTATGTCTATTCTTGCGATCTAAGACCTTGTGTTATGTTAAATCAATTTATTAATTCAATCTATTTGTTATGTAACTTAAACACATGTCAAAAATCAAAGAAAAATAATATAGATATAATAGAACAAAGATTAGGTAGATTAATTAATTTTAGAAAAGATCAAGCATATAAAGAGAGAGAAAAAAAATAGACACTCAATTAGAAATTAAGTGTTTATACTCACATGGCGAACATGTCAACATATTGACGTGATAATTTTTGATGACATCAAAATGAATTTAACCAAAACACTTGATTAGAAAAATTTTAAAAATTTACATACGCAAATAGAAAAAATAAAAATTGAAACACTCGAAACACTAGAATATAAAAAATTAAAAAATTTACACCCTAAGTATTTAGTAAACTTATTTTAGAAAATCTCTAACTTCAATTATGTAAATTATAACCCCTTTTTTTTCGTCAACTTATTTTGGAATGGAGAGAATAGTTCACCAACATATGAATTTGAATGATAATTGCGGGCTTTTAAAATATGAGATCCCAAAGTGATGGGCATGCTTGAGCAATTTACCAAATGTTTAAGTTTTCGATTTCTTGTCAAATATGCATTGGAGGATCTGGTAAAACGCAAGTGTTTATCGTGTAAGTGTTACATGGTCATAGAAGAAATTCTTTGATTACTGGTTTCTGATGGATACTAAAGCACAAGTACAGAAGTTTCCTCATCCCACCAGAGTAAATTATAAATTAGTTCCTCTAATTTAGCAAAATAAATTAAAAAATCCTTCTTGTTAAAAATTAATTAATCAATCCCTTAATCAAGTTTAATCATGGTTATTTTAGTATTATTTTATTCTAAAAATACCTTTTTTCTCATTAATCTTTCCTTACTTTTTTAATTTTTCTATTTATTAAACCAAAAATAAATAAATTTAAAAAGAATGAAAATGATTAAGGTACAAATAGATTTTAAAATATAGAGACTAATTAATTAGCTATTGAAATTAGAGGAACTTTTTAATTCCACTTGAAAAACTAAAGGGGCTAATTTATAACTTACTCCATCCCAGTCGTAAATGAAGGTTCGATGCTTTCAGAATTGCAGCGAACTAGCAACCAATAATTGGTGGAATATCCATTCACCTTTGCTCGTACAAAAGAATCATAGATTTTGTCGTTTTTCTTTTCCAACTTCAGATAAAGAGCCAAATATGCCGTGTTATCACAGCTTTACAAATTGCAACCTTCCTCATACTCAGGGCCTCAGGCTAATTCTTTCGGTCTTCAACGAAAAGCTCCAGGCTGCAATTAATATCATTAACTCCAATAACAGAGCAGAAATCCTGAAGGTTGGTTCTTTCATGAGTGCATGCATAATTACTGAATTAGGGATTATAATTTCAAACAGCAAATGCTGTTGAAATAATGATTGCAATAACAACCTATCATAATAGTAAAATAATATCACAAATTATGTCGTAAATACATTATCAGTTGTTAAAAAAAGATATTTTAATTTACCTATATTTAACAATTTTATTAATTAAGCATACTAATAACATATCGTGTGTAAGCTACCAAGTATAAATACTGAAATTTTGGTTTTTTTTTTTTCCAATACAATGATGTTATATAACAGATAATAATAGTAATACATAACGATAACGTCATTATTCATATGAAATGGCAACAAAACCCCTAATGCTAAATGACAGTAACGAGATGCTCCAAAATCATTATATAACAAACGCAATGGTTGTTATTTGAATCTATGCTAGGAATGAGCAAAACAATAACAACAAATAGTATTAGCTTTAATAGCGGAGATATTTTTAAGTATCATACAAAGGTATTTTTCTTCCGGACACCAAGTTTCTATCATTCAGCCGCGTCCAACTTCCAAGTTGGGAGAAAAAATTACTGGTCAAAAAAGAGAACTTTCTGTGTATTTAAGAGCGCTCCGAATGATGGTGTCGTTAGCAACAGCGCATGTAAATTCTGCACTCAGTCTCCTTATTGAGTTAAAACTGTAAATATACGCTTACTGGAAGATGAAATTTACCGTCATAAGGCCCTAATAGGGGATTGTGTACATGATAAAAAAATGGTGGGCGATGAGAGAGAACTAAACTGTTAGAATGGGATCGCCAGCCTCATTCTGGAACCACAATATTCAAGAGGCTGATGAGTCTGGCTCCGCATCTTCTGAAGCAGAAAAGCCATCTAATCCTTCCTTGCCATCCCACTCACCATCCTGCAATGTGGCCTCCGATCTCTTCTGCAAGCCTACACCAATCCTCCTCTTGTGTTCTGGAATAATCATAACAGCAAATTCATTAGTTCTGTGAACAGATATTAGGAACAAAAAGGACCAGAAGGGAAAGATTACTTTTATTGTTAATTGCACGGCGAGTAATCGCCAAAAATTCATCCCACTTGAATTTCCTAAGTTCTTGCTTCTCCTCCTCTGAGAGCTCAAAGTTGGGCTCCCTCCCGCACATGAATGCAGCCCTGCATAAATGAAAACCATCAGACGAGCCCCAGAAAAGTTTCTTAACCTAACCTGACCAAGGTCTGTCTTTGTAGACGTCCTATGACAACATTTTTTGGCACATAATGTTAACCCAAAATCACTGTAAATGGAAAAAATAAAAATAAAAATTGAGCTTCTTATTTATTTTATCACCCTAGTACAGATAAACATGCATGGACTGCTGGCAGGTATGAGATGAATGACACAATAGAAGCCTAACCAAAGAGTTTAGGAAGGCTAACTACCTTTAGGACACTTTTGAGGATATTTTTTCCCTTCCAGAAAATGGGCGGTTCACATATTTTTGTTATCTCATGGATGTAAAATAGCAAGTGTTAACTCATCCTCAATAGTGTTCGCATATGCACGTGCCATTTTTATTGTCTATGCTCATGCACTGCCTTATTCCCATCTCATATTTTTATAACTGAAAAGTTTCATGGTTTCCAATCATCTTGCTGTCATTTAAAAAGTGGGCATGAATAAGATATATGCAGAAAAATACAACAATAATGACTAAAAGCGCTTTACAAACTGTTGCAACTTTAGAGAGACAAGCATTGGACTGAAGGATCTCAGTCAATGCTACTTGTTAGAACATGATGTTCAGCCATATAAGAGGAGTAGTTTTATAGAGGAAATCGGCAAAATAAAAATGCAAGTATCCCCAAAACCCATGGTCCTTGATTCCTACGAAACATTCCAAGGGAAAAAAGATGCTTTGGTGGATGAATGGGACTTGAGGTTCCTAACTTGATCTTACAAAAGTAGGAGGTAGTTTTCTCTATAAAGATTCGAGAATAACAAGTTAATCGCAATAAAAAAGCTGCAAACTTCAGACTACTACCTGTCATACAATGAAAGAGAAAAGACTCTGGAAACCTAATGCAACTGATAAGCAAATTGTATAATCAATTACTATTTTGGAATGCAGTAATCAAAGACGACAAAATTATTCACTCAAAGAATTGGTTCAGACTTTATGCAGAAATTAATGATATTTTGGAAAAAGAGAGATGGCAGTACTGATGAAAGTAAGAATTATCATTACAAGCAATGCAAACTTCAGACTACTACCTGTCATACAAACGAGCAGCCTCTTCTTGAGAGCCAACAGTCCCTAAGTGGATCTGCTTCTTGTCAACTTTAATTGCTGCCTGCCATTTCATATTTTTGAAATAGACACCTCTCATCAGGCATGGTTCTTGGTTTTGAACATGTTTCCTCCTGTGTCTCTTTCTGCGTTTAACTGGTTGCTCTAGAAATAGAAAACGAATGAAGCAACAAGGTTAAAAATGCAGCAAAGACAAGTATCACATTAGTACTATTCCATGCTGACATAATCATGGTGCCTATCAGAGTCATACTGAGAACTTGGGAGGTTTGGGGAAATATCAGGTCTTACATTATTGGCATACGAACCAAAAAAAGAAGTGAAATGATGGGGAAAATCAGATGCAACTACATGCCAGGTATACAACAATAAAATCAGAAAGAGACAATAAATGCTCATCCCCTTTATAGATAAACAAAGGAACAGCCATAATATTCCCTTAAAATTGAAACTAAAATGTACCTTAGACTCCTTCCTCAAAATTTCTCTAGCGCATTTAGTCCAGGTACAGCATATAAATAAATAACCTGTTTTTAAATGACTCCTTCCTGCTATTCAGATTTGCAAATTGCAAGTTCTGCTTAAAGGAAAACACCAAAACAAACAGCACTTGTGCGGCCATCCAAGAAGTGGGATACTTGTGTAATGTCTGAAGTAGTAGACCTCTCATTCAATGCTTCTACTATGTTTGCTTACAATACAACAATTTTCAGTAGTCTCATACTTCAGGATATTGATTCTCCACAATGTTGAACTTTTAACTAATGAACCTTGATGGTTTAACTTAATATTAAAGAATTCCTGCTGATGAAAACTAACAGGGATCCAAATCAGCTAAGAAATCACATAGCACTAAAAATTAAATGGGACTTGAATTCTTTACCCCGTTTATGATCTATGCATGTCTGGGAGAATTCATGTGGAGAATGAATATATAATATCCAGATAACATAACTAAAATAATAACTTTTCTTAATGCAACTAATTAAATCAATCTGGTAATTTTCTGATAGTTTTTCAGAAACAATGTCAGTAGAGGGTTAAATTAGACTTTATAGATACACAAGTGGCAGAAGGAAACAGTGATAAAACATAAAACTTGACAAAAACGGCAGAATCAAATGTTAGTTATTTTTCTCTCCTTCCTTATTTGTTATAAACTAAGTGAATTGTCCTCACATTATCTTACCTAAACATTTTTCCAAAATGAATTGATCTCAGTTCATGATCAACATCGCAAGTAATCAAACCAACTGTATGTGATACGTTCCGCCTCTTGAATACCTCAATCTTGTATTGCAACAATCAAGTACATCCAGAAGAATAGAATTAATCTATAGAAAAGACCAAAAAGAATTGAGGTATCATGGTTTTGCTTCTTTATGAAAGGATCCCCTGGAAGTTACGTAGTGTACTGAGAAACAGGGGCAAAAGTCAGAAAGAAAAGCTACATCTAGGCTATCATTAAGTATTCTTCAATACTTAAGGGTTCTTAATCTTCAATGTAACCTCACCTCGGCTCACGAGATTTTTACTTGAATTTTAAAAGCACGTCAAGCATGTTGTAGGTTCAAATTCCCATCCCTCTGCAGTTTGCACTTCCATTATTGTCTTATCTCCATATTCTTATTTACAATAATAATCCATAACATTGAATTAACCTATCCAAAACTTATAGGAAGATGGTTTACATTGCATATAACCATCTTGGGGGCATTTAACCCATATTATCTTATAGTTAACAAGTTCACCAAATATTTATGAATAGCCAACATAACCAATGTATAATTTTGCAAGTACTTGGTTGACGTGAAATCATACAATTAAGACACATCTATCAGCAATGACAAACCTGGATATGGATGAGAGTGCTGCTCTTTTGACGAGCTAGAAGGAGAAACATTTGACGAGCCAGCTCCTACTTTGGCAATAATTTTCTGGCAGATTAAATTGGATGACGTTAAGGCAAAATATCACCAAATATAAGTATGGAATTAAAAAAAAAGAATTTAAACAAAACACTTTCTATCTTTTGCTGCCAACATAGAGTGCAGTGTCATGTGCCTAAGCGTAACAAATTTATTGAGGATAATATCACATCTGATCATTACATACAAATTAAAACAACCCATTGAAAACATAACATGATTGCAAGATGCTTGCATCAATCATAAAAAAACAGATATTTGACAAGTGACTGAGAGCTATATTCTGTCAAGGCTTGCCAAGTTGGAGGCACCAACATGGAAGCGTCCTCACCTGACAGATGAACATGCTCTCTAAGTTTCAACTGTGTTGGGCCTAGATAAACTGAAAGGAATTTAACATTTTCTTTATGCAGTGGCTAAACTGTAAGGAATTTAACATTTTCTTTCTGCACAGAGGAGTTGTCCGCGTTTATTACCTTTACTTTGAATTGATTGATTCAAACTATCCATCCCTAAAATTCAGGAAATCATAGAAAACTGCTATCATCTAAGCCTTCTTATTGGCATTAATAAAGGAGCAACTCTGTGTGATGGCCATGGTTGTGACACTGCAAATAGTGGCTTCATAGGTGAAAATAAAGGAGGGATCTTGGTTTCGAATTCTAGCACTGTAAACAGATGTCTGTGCACACACATATACGTGTATGAGATGAAATAAATCCCTCAAGACTGTTTTTAACTGAGCGGGGAAAGGGTTAATATTTGCCTGGGCACATGGATCTCTTATTGCTAGAACTGGTTGCTTTAGGAAGAAAACAGCATTAAATATGTATTTGGAAATGAAAACTTTAATAATCTCAATGTCCAATGTTTCATATGCAGTGAGCTTTCCTATTAATACAGGAGAATCAGTTACCAAGATTTCTTTTCTAAACGGCAACGCCACTTTCAACATTTATCTGTATTTGCATGACTCTAAAACTGAAAGTGAATGAGGAACTGATATAATCGAATAGATTACGGTATATCTTCACCTCCTCTGGCTGGTTGACATCCTCTGATGGCAAAGGATGCACGCTGACAGATCTGCCATTCTGAGTAGAACCACCAGGAGCAGTTCCGTTGTCAAAAAATCGAGGAAGTGGAGTCAGGAAAGAACTTCTCCCTGCAAAGACCACCAAATTCAGTTGATAATTTTATTCATGCATGATATAGAACCTTTCAACTAAATCATAAATTTAAAAACAGTAATCAAAGATGAAAGAAGCTTTTAACAAAATTCAAAAAACTATTCTGCATCAAGATGCCTCGCCAAAAAAAAAAAACCCACAAAGGATAGAAACACAACATTCATACATAACCTTTTCTTAAAAGGTGTGCTAGCTTCAAATGACCTAAAACCCTCTAATTTGGTTAACTCAATGCTCAGAATTAATCATTTTGCATACAGATTATCTAAAATAGTGTTTACCAGCACAAAGTCCCAAGAGTTTACGCCTCCGTAAGCTAACCATGGTAGATTAAAATCTTTGTATCGACACGCAGGTGAGAATGATGGCCTTTAGCATTTATCACCTTGCTCCTTGGATCAGTGAAAAGGCTAATCTGTTACAACAAAGGTATAAATGAAAGCTAATTTTATAAGGGAAAGGCTCGAAAAATTTAAAATTTAAAATTTCCATCAAAGGAATAAACTTGTATGTACATGAAGACTCGACAACTATTCTAAAAGAAAACAAGCACTTAGTAATCAAATATGGATAATTCAGAAAACCAAGTAGCTCTCTCAAGGTTTCTACCAAGCAAATAGGCAGTGAGTACTTGTTGCTATAGGAAAGGCAACCAGAACTATTAGTTCCTAACATTAGGACAGCGTAATAAATAATGGAGTTCAGTGCTGTGCATCTGAAGGCTTTAAAAGAACTTTGGCAAAGCCTGAACAAATCATTTGGTGTGTGAAATTCCCAGATGGTCAATTGGCGTGTCATCATCAAAACACTGAAAGAAAATGAACGAAAGCTAAAGGTACTTTTTATGTGACAAAACTGCACATTATTGGTTGGGCAAAAGATGAACATTTGCATGTTTGCGTTTAAATCAAACTCCTGCCACCTTCATCCATTCATACCTAAGCTGTTAGCTAGTAGTTCCAGTACCCAGCTAAAGCAACAAAACATATGTACGGTCACAACATTAATGAAAAAGATAACAACATTCCCGTTACAGATTTAGCTAAAACCCATCTGCCATGTGTCTCTAAAACAGAAGCAGTTCAATTATGGTGGCCCCAAGAAACAAGTTTGTGATTCATGTGCTTATACAACAAAATCCATTCTCATATCCAATGATAAATGTGAACAAAACCAGTACGGACTTCTAGTTCGAGATCGTTTCACCAGCATAAGAGAATCAAATCTTAACAAAGCGGGCAGGGTGGCACAAAAGCCTAGACATAAAAAATAAAATAAAAAAATAAAATCCGCACAAAGAAAAACCCAGACCGGTAATCATAATAAACGGGGATTAGGATTTTAGAGTAGAGAAGAAACCAACAAAGACGCCCAAAGACTTCGCAGAGAAGAATTTGCAATTATCTCTGTAAGTCAACTCCACCAACCTACCACCTTTCATGGAAGGATATCAACGAGGGACAAAAAAACAAACAAAACCCATAATAATTAAAAAAAATACAAAAGAAAAAAAAAGTGAAACCCACAAAAGCCCAAGTCTTTTTTAGGCCCATTAATTCTGAATGCCCATCCTATGACCAAGAAAGAAATACACCGACCAAACAAACCATGTAAAGTACAAGCTTGAAAAGCTAAAGCAAAACAGCAAAGACCGCCCACCCAGCCGTGAGTGAAGAGATAAGGTCTTATGGTCTTTGTACCTTAAAGAAACAGAGAAAGAGAGAGAGAGACAAGGTGGCGCTAGTGGTGGTGGCGGTGGTTGTTGAAAGAGCGTAGAAACCGAGGAGAGGATCAGAAACCTAGAGAGGGAGAGAGAGAAGGTGGGTGGTTTATAATTTATATATGGTAAAGTCTAGAGAGGAAGGTTAGTAAGGTAAGGTGACGAAGGTGCTGAAGAGGAGAAGGGATATTGTATTAATTGTGGCTCATGCATCCACCACCTTTTTTTTCTGTTTTTTTTCCTTTTCCTTTTTGTTTACCCACTTGTTAGTGTAGTTGCTATTTTTATGAGGAGGTTGGAGGTGGTGGTGCTGCTGCTGCTGCCAATGGTGCCTATTTTATGATAGAGAAAGAAAGAGAGGAGGAAAAAAAAAAAAAGGAATAATAATAATAAGAGAAGAGAAGAAAGGCAACAACGTTTGCTTCTTTGGTGTGGACTTTTCTGGTTCGGTTGGATTCTCAACTTTGCCCTTTTGCAACTTCACTGACACCATATCGATTAGGTATCTTGTCTGTACCTCTTCACTTACTATTATGCCCTTTTAGTTTTTAAGAGGGAATTCTTTATATGGTCAACATAATTAGTAATGAATTTTTTTTTTTTTTTGTCATTTCCTTGCCCTTAGCTTGCAAATATCCTTCCAAATCCGGATGGTCTCAAATTTTATTTTCATCAAATATAAAAATAAAATAAAATAAAAAATTATGTATTTTATTGAATGGATCAAATTAACCTTCTATTTTGTTCTTTCTAAATAATTTTGACTAAAAAGACTAAATCTCCTTTAAACTTTAATTTATTTGAAAATCAGTCTTTAAAATTTTAATTTGTGTTTTAATTTTTCTGAACTTTATTTTTTAAAAAAATTTATTCAATCTTATGATTTTCAAATATCGCTTCTTGTCATTCAAAATTCAATTTTTAGTATTTTGATTTGAGGTTTTGCACACATTAAGAATAATTCAATCTATTTTATAGGGAAAAAAAATCTAGAGTATTTTAAGGTTATCAATTACATTTGCTTATTTTTTTTAACCTTAAAAAATATAGAAAATAAAAAAATAATAATTCGAAATGATTTCAATTTTTTTAAAAAGCTCGGATAAATCCACTGAATAATTTCCATCATGGAGATATTTATGTGATTGTTGCTTTTTTTAGATAAGTGACAAAAAAAAATAAATGATGAACTAAATTAAAAATAATAAATAAAGTTCAAAGAGGTCAAAACACAACTTAAAAGTTTAAAGACTAATTTTCAAATAGACTAAAGTTCAATGGAAGTTTGGCCCATTTAGCCAATACTTTATAGTTTCATAATGATGAAAATAAATTAACTATCAAATTATGCCTTGAGTATTTTTGTATTTATGTGATTGTATATATATATTTGTTTTTGATAAATAAAAATTGAAAGATGGAATAAATCTCAAAATATCAAATTTCAAAAAATCAAAATACAAATTAAAAGTTTAGATACTAAAAAATAGATTAATATGAGTTTGACTAAAGATAAAAGGAAATTTGGCCATTTTAGCCAATAATTTATAATTTCATAATGATCAATATAAATTAACTATTAAAGCTATGCCTTGAGTTTTTCTTTATTATTATTTTTTGTAATAAGTTTGACATGAATTAATTTATATGTTCTAAATCTTAAATATCGATGTGTATGACTTTTCATATTCTACACGGTAAAAATACTAACCTTCGACCTTGTGTTTTGAAATGTGATTAAAACAAAAACAAAACAAAAAAATATGCCTTTCTCTTGCTTTATAAACCATTTCAATATAATTCTAAAACCATTAAATTGTTGAGTCAAGTATTGATTGGTATCATTGTAGTTTTTTTGTTTTTTGTTTTTTTTTAAATGTGTTTGATTAACTCGTTATGTTTATTCTTTCTATGAATAATTTTTAAAAGTAAAACGGATTTTAAAAAACAACAAAATGTGATTTCTTTTTGTAAGCACATGATATTATGTTATTAACATTACAACTACCACACGACTAATATCACATATGTTATCATAATCACAACCGTCACGACTAAAATCATAATACAACCATCACTACCATAACCATCATAATCACAACTTTCATTATTACTTATTCACCATTCTCTACTCTTTTGTCGCAGGGCGACATCGGGACGAGGTAGAAATAGGAAATGACCAAAAATGGAGTCATCGCCTAGTATTAAGATTATTAGAAAACCATGTGGTCGGTATGTTTAGAGTTTTAGATAAGATATTGGTTACATATAGGAAAGATTAAAAATCACTCTACCCTATACGATTTAAAGCAAGCTGCATTGCATGCAAATTCTAACTTGATTTTTAATTTTTTGTAATGAAAATCTATGCCTATTATTAGATTTTTGCCGTTTGGACTAGTGATTTGAGACTTAACCAATCAAATGCCTTATTCTCACTCCGAGACATAATAAATCCAAATCTAGGACAACTAAATTAAAACTCATGCAATGGAAATGGCAAAAGCATAAAAAAAAAAAAAAAAAAAGCAAAGATGGTTCAAAAACGGGGTTCACACTTATGTAACTTTAAGTGTCAAATTTTTCGAGCAAACTAGTAAAGTCATTGAAATTGGCAAAAATGATTAGAAAACGGGGTTCGGACCAATACGACTTCAATTTTTAAATTTTTTAGACAAATTGACAAAGTCATTGAAATTGACAAAAATTGTTCGAAAATGAGTTTAGATCGACACGACATCAAATTTCAAATTTTTTAGGCAAATTGACAAAATCATCAAAATTAGAAAAAATGATTCAAAAACGAGATTCGATTGACACAACATCAAGTTTCAAATTTGTTAGGCAAATTGGCAAAGTCATTGAAATTGGCAACAATGATTCAAAAAATGAGGTTAAGATCTACATGACATCATGTTTCAAATTTTTTAGGCAAATTGACAAAGTCATTAACATTGGCAAAAATGACTCGACAAGATTCATTTAATCATCAACATTGGCAAAAATGTTTCCAAAACGGGGTTCAAACTAGCGTAATTACAAATACCATGACTTTCATGAAAAAGTAACCGATAAAGAAATCGATGCTTCGGTTAATAATTAACAAACGATAAATGGATCTTTGATAAAAAAAAAAACATAAATATAACATAATCGGGCATACTTAATCTAATCACAAACACGCAACCACAAAAATAATCATAGAATACCGAATCTCCTTATCTCACCTCAATATTACCTAAGGTTTCGATCCTTTTGCGGGCTCAATACATTATGGTGTATCATAAACACTTCAATCAACATCAACCTCTCAAATCACCATACAATCAATTTACAATAATTTATAATTACATAAATTAAATTTAAAAATTAAGATAATTTACTTGTCAAAAAAATGCAAAAAGGTTGAAAGAATTTTTTATGGTTAAAATGAGGTCGGTTCGACCTTTTCAACCTCGATGGAGATTATTTATTTAGTCAATCGAAGAGAAGGAATGGTTGCTCGTTGTCAAATTTAAATCTAGTGACAAGCGATGTAATCGATGGTGGCTAGATCGTAGATGTACGTCTAGTGGTGGTCGTTGGCGATAATCGAGCTATTACGAACATTTGTAAGAAGGCGATAATGGTGTAGTCATTGTCCGATGCGGATAAATAGAGCTTTTGATATTGATCTGTTAATGTGGATCAACCGGATTAGACAACGCTCTCTACTGGACAACCACTACGCATGGATCGATGATCGAAACAGAGGCTCCTAAGTGGCGAGGGCGATCGATGATAGGCTAATTATGGCAGATGGCAAGCCTACGGGGAGGCCAATCTCAATTGTTTTATAGTCGACATAATAGCCGATCATCGTAGGTAAGAAGATTGGTGATTGAACCGGCATGACTAGGTTATGGGAGAGACAATCAATTGTTGCTGACCGGTGAGATCGGACGAACGACGAGTTGGCTAGAATGGTTTGGGCTTGATGTGGTTGATCGAATTTTAGAGAGAGAGGAGGAGGCCGATCAAATTTCTTAGAGAGAAAGGATATGGGTGAAATTATTTAGAGAGAGGGTGGTTGGTTAGGGTTTGGAAAAATAGGGGTTTTATACTAAATTTTTAAGGTTTGTAGCTCAAAATCCGATTTCATTCGATCTTATGGACCTATTTTATTTTGATCTTTTTTTCTCTAATTTCTTTTAATTGCATCTCTCAATTAAACTTTTCGAGTCCCCTTTACTATTTTCTTATTTTTCATTTTTTTAAAAGAATTTATGAAAAAAAATAAGCAAAATTTGATTCGCTAATAGTTGTTTTCTTTCACAATACTTATGACGTAGGGCCATCAAAAAAGGAATTTTTCTTTGATTTTGCATAGTAACCTTATAAAGAAAATCTCAAAAGAATGGCAAACAAACAAAATAAGAATAATAACCAAAAAAGATAAATCAATCAACAAGGTTAAATGATGAATGACTATCCTTAAGTCATTAGTCAATCATGGGTGACCTCTTTCAAAACATAGGTCAATATAGGTAACCATCCCCGAGATAAAAAAGTTGACCTTTCCTCAATAATCGGTTAATATAGGTAACCATCCTCAAGATAACAAAAGGTTATATTTGGCACAAACGAATAGAGCTCTCAACATCGGGTGTTGGTGTGGATTAGCTAGATAGGACGATGCTCTCTCGTTGGCCAACTCGTTATGCATGGATTGACAACTAGAATAGAGGCTTCTAAGTGGCAAGGCAAGAGCGATCCGTGACACACTCGCGAGGAGGCCGACCTTGATTGCTTCTTAGTCGACAATGTAATTGCTCGTCATGGGTGAAAATATCGATGACTAAACTAGTGTGACTAGGCTATAGGGGAGATGATCGATTGTTGCTAAATGGTGAGGTCGAATGAACTAGGTTAGGGTGGTTTGGGCTTAGTATGGTTGAATCGAATTTCGAAATAGAGGGCGAGTCGATGGAATTTCCTAGAGAGAAAAGATATGGCTAAAAATATTTTAGAGAGAGAGTGGTTGGTTAGGATTTGGAAAAGGAGGGGTTTTTGTATCGATTTTTTAAGATTTATAGGCCAAAATCTGATTTGGTCTTGATCTTGTGGACCTATTTTATTTTGGTCTTTTTTTCCTCCAATTTCTTTCAATTGTATCTCTCAATTAAACTTTCCAGTCCCCTTTATTATTTTCTCATTTTTTTCTTTTTGGAAAAATATATGAAAATAAATAGGCAAAATTTGGGTGCTAACATCCTTTAACATTGCCATTATTATCATTAATCGCTCCACCTCTACCACCATTATCACTAATTTTTTCTTATCATTATCACTAATTATAATTAAAGGTATTTACCAATGTAATAATAATACTATCATTTTGAAAAACATGATACGAGTATGTTTCAAATCTCATTAGTGGTTTTGAATTTAACGATTTGGATGAGGTGATATCAATAAAGTAGTAAAAAGTTAATAATTTTTGCTATTTTTATC